TATGGCTTATGGGCTGTAGTTTGCTAACCTGTTCTACAATATTACTAACAACTGTCCTAGCAAATTTTTCCTTTTATGTTGGTTTTAGAACCAACACATTAAACACACAGACACACACACACGTTTTTAAAAACTCTTAATTTTTCTTTGAATTGTCATCAGATAAAGAAGGAAGGGCAATTTACTTTTTATTATCAGGTACAAATTGTCATGTTTAATTCAACTTCAGAAGTCATACAGTAATGTTTCTTTTCAGTTGAGAAACATCGCCCTTAGGTAATAAGGAAGCTTTTAAGTATATTCTGTATAGTAGGTCCATGATCTGCATAAATGTGGGGTGATGCCATTCCAGTGACTAGTGTAGGATTTTAAATCACAGAATTATTGTTTTTCCTCATCCTCCAGATACTTGGAATAAAACAAAAGTAAGTTACTGAACCAGGGGTCACAACAACTTATTACTGGAGCTAGAAGCAGAACTGTGTAACTCAGTCTATCTCCTAAAGCCTGTTGAGGTACAGCAGTCAGATTCTGACCACTCTTGGCGGTGAAGATCCCATGGCTCTCGTAACGGGAGTGAGACTGCTACCCCCCGTTCATTCTTGCCACGGCCCAGCCACCAGAGGGTTATGCTTTCAGTCTCGCCTGAACTCCCTCTGTAGAATGCAGTCGTCTGAGCTGGCTTCTAGCCAGGGCACTGACTGGGCTTACTAGCACCCCTACTCGAAAGGGGTCTCCTTATCTTGACTCCTTGACTGTTGAGCAGTTTCATTTCTGCCGTTCAGCAGCTAAGTAGTGTCCTCCATGGAAGAATTGGCACTTTATGTTCACTGTAGCGTATGTTTGGTCTCACTGTTTACTTTGTGTAAGAACAAAACTGACCTTGGGCATGTCAAAGATGTAAACATGATGACATTGTAGCAAAAGGGTTAAATATTTTCAAATAAAGACATTGGAATCAACCTTAGAAACACAGAGACCTTTTAAGTTTTTGACAGTCAAAACCCACTGTTTTATGCCACGTTGTTTTTTTTTAATAGTGATAATGTGATCTTTTGAAAATTAATTATTTTTATTTTTGGCTGCGTTGGGTCTTCGTTGCTGCGCACGGGCTTTCTCTAGTTGCAGCGAGCGGGGGCTACTCCTCGTTTTAGTGTGTGGGCTTCTCATTGCGGTGGCTTCTCTTGTTGCGGAGCACAGGCTCCAGGCACGCGGGCTTCAGTAGCTGTGGCTCGCGGGCTCTAGAGCGCAGGCTCAGTAGTTGTGGCACACGGGCTTACTTGCTCCGCGGCATGTGGGATCTTCCCGGACCAGGGCTTGAACCCGTGTCCCCTGCATTGGCAGGCGGATTCTTAACCACTGTGCCACCAGGGAAGTTCCTATGCCACATTATTAAATCAGCAGTTCTCAAGCTTTTTCGCCTCAGGACTTTACACTCTTAAAAATTACTGGATTATATCTATCAATATTTGCCATATTAGGAGTTAAAACACAGTTAAAATACACTTACTTTTAAATACACTTATTTTTTAGAAATAGCAACAGTAAACCCACCCTGTGTTAGCATAGATTTTATGAAAAATATATATTAGTTTAAATATATTCTGAAAAATCTCTGGAAGAGCGGCATTGTTTTACATTTTTGCACATCTCTTTAATGTCTGATTTACTGGACCACAGCTGAATTCTACTTTTGTAGAATGTTGTTATATGTTGTTTTTTTGGTTTGTTTTTTTGGGTTTTTTTGCGGTACGCGGGCCTCTCACTGTTGTGGCCTCTCCAATTGCGGAGCACAGGCTCCGGACGCGCAGGCTCAGCAGCCATGGCTCACGGGCCCAGCCGCTCCGTGGCATGTGGGATCTTCCTGGACCGGGGCACGAACCCGCGTCCCCTGCATCAGCAGGTGGACTCTTAACCACTGCGCCACCAGGGAAGCCCTATATGTTGTTTTACTTAAAGTATATGAAGAAAATTCTCACACACATATATATAGTAGGAAAAAGGAAGAATGTTTTAACAACTTTTTCAGATGATTGTGGATTTTTTTTGATAATACACCAAAAGTTGACAAATAGTAATTTTTATACATTAATTGCCATGTGGAATCTAAAACTGTATCAGTGAACTTTTCCTGCTATGTTACATTAAAATCCACTGGTCTGTCTTGCACTTTCCACGCATGCATTCATTCACTTATTCATTGGGTATGTGTTTGTGTGTATGTACACGCGCATTCACGTGCGTGTTTAATTTCTATTTTTTTATTGTATTTTCAATGAATCCTTTTCCCGTGCATGATTTTGTAACATCAAGTATTGGTCATTTGGGAATTATTGAACTCTCTGAGTTTCGCTAAGCTTCCAAATGTTGATACATTTCATTATACAATATCAAAAAATATCAATTCTCTAATATCAACACTGATTGCATCAAAAATCTTTTAAGTATTGACAGCAGATGTGTTTTCCAAAATTCTGATTTTTTTGCTCTAAAGGTCAAATTTTATCACTGGCAACAAATATCTTCAAGTTGGTTTTCTTGATATGACAAGCTCATTTAGTTATTATTTTTAGAAAATACCTGCTATATGCCCAAGTCTGGATTAGCATACTTTATCTGTCATTCTTTCAAGGAAAAATGGTGTTCCGTGAAAAAAACAGCTAATTCAGCTTGCAGCTCTAACAGGTACACAAGTGCTTTGCTTCAACACAGCCATCACGTTTAGGTATGCAGTAGAAATGCTTTATGCAAGCTCAAGGGTCAATATTTAATGCTTCTAATAGTTTTTACTGCTTTTATCAAGAACAAATGAAGCCGATTTGTTTTTCTTTTTTAACTGCATGTAGTACAGTTTGGTACCATTGTCTTGATTTTGAGATAAGACACCAGCAGTTTACCTGCTGTTGTGTTTGCATCGTCATTGCAAATGTCAACACATTGAAAAAGGTAAATGAGGTTTAGTATTATTATGAGGTAGTTTTGACTTCATTGACTCTCTGAAAGTGTCTCTGGGATGTTCAGAAGTCTGTGGGCCACACTTTGAGAACTGTATTTATATCCCATGTGGCAGACAGTATTTAATATTTCCTTTTCTTTTGACAGTATAAAATATAACCATTCTTTTATCTTGCTCATTTCATTTACTTCGCTGTTCTCTAAGAACATTGCTATGAAACCTTTGTTCATTTTCTAACGCTAGGCCTTTACTTGTTTTATTATTTGGTTCAAGTAGTGATACTGTCACATTAATAATTATGCTTAGATGAACCTCAGAAATTAATGGTAGATAAAAAAGGAAGCGACTGAAAACAGTGTTTAGAAAAACTTGTGCTAGAAACCTACCCAGCCACTGAAGGAGTTAAAATAAACTAAGGTTTGAAGTATTTTTTCACTTTACAGTAATGACTGAGCTTAGCTGCTTTGTGTGCCCACATCTAATCCCAAAGCTGTCTGTTCTGTTATCCTGAGCAAGTCATTGGACCTGTCTGTACCTCTGTTCCCTTAACAGCTATAATTCTGGGCTGTATGTCCAGGAACTGAAGTAGACCTCCATGGAAGGAAACACAATCCTTTACGTAAACCCACTAACTATATTTTAGCTGTGGATTGGATCTAAAGAGCAGTACTGTATTAGCACCCCCGGCCCAGGACATGTATTCATTGTATTTTCAGAAATGAATGCTAAACAACTATCTATCAAAGAAGATAAAAATGTTCTGGTTCAGATTATAGATATCAGTAAGATTCCAATCAGAACACATCAAAGAGGTGAATAAATCATCTAGTTCCAGTCCCTTCTTTTATACTGCAAATGTCACTGTGGCTTAGTGGCACTGGTTTGTGGGTTACGGCCAGACACGTACACATTTTCTCCGCTTCGCTGCTCTTGGTTGGCTTTCTTACAGCACCGCCATTCTCTCTGGAATGACAAGCAAATGAGCCGGTGGGTACCTGCAGGGAGGGCAGGGAGCGCCACTGAGCCATGGACCCTGAGTTCAGAACCCGGCTCAACTGATAAGGGCACAACGTAGAAGAGTTTTATTTTGACTATTTTCCCACCAATCCAGACTGATATTCTTTAGGTATTAGTTATTAAACTTCAGATATTGGATTTTAGATATTCTTTAAACTAGATTTTATGATTAAACATGAATTCTTCAGGAAAATTTAGCGAGTCTTAACGGTTTGACGTAACTAAGGAAAATTGACACACTTTTCCAGTATGTTCGTAGGAATCCTTTTGTTTAGTAAACACATGATAGGCTTTGGAATGCAGGAAAAGCAGCAGAGAAGCTGACCGTTAGAATACCATTGTCTTTATAATTCAGAGAAGTTTAAAGGGAGTGCTTTGGGTGGAAGTGGTGCTCACGTTTGATTAAAATTTGTTCTGTAGGTAAGACGTATAACTTTCTATGCCCTTTCCATTTTGTGAATTTAAAAAAATAGCGTACTTACAATTCTGTGCTGTGAAGATCTTCTCTGAGTAAATTAGTAATAGAGTTTTCTCTGTATAGGCTTTCTCCAAGTGGCTCTGTTGTTTTGACTCTTTTATGTTCAGTAGTCCTTGGTCACTTGTGTGTATTATGGGCCAGGTTTCTCAAGTCTGCTAAATCATTATTACTTGTTCACGTGCTTTCCAGCTTCCAAAATTTATTGCCTTTACCTCTTTTCCCCTTACCTCTAGACCGATGTATATTTATGCTTTTTTACAAATTTTACTCTGTCATTTTAATAGGGCTTTGAAAGGGAACAAAGGTGTTTGTTCCGTTTCCATCTTTACTTTGATGGAAATTTGCTTGTTTAAGTTTGCTTATTTAAATGAAAGCATCTGTACTGTTTTTATTTCAAACCAGAAGTTGAATTCAGCAAACAAGTACTAAAGTCAACACAGTGGTTTAAAAAATTGTTTTAGCAGTCACATTTTTATGTTTTACAGATCCTGTAAAATAATGTTATGGCTTCAGTAATGTTGCTTATGAGTTACCATTAATTGTTTTCATTAAAAGGGTACAGGATTTTAAAATTAAGTTATGAATTATTTTTAAAAAAATGACATGTGTATTTACTTAATGAATTAGGTCATTCTCAGTAGGTGAATTGAATAGAAATGGACATCTTAATGCTCCACACCTTAAGCAGTAACTCACAATTGGGAAAGATTTACAGGAGCACGGAAACAGTTTGGTTTTGAATATGCTTAACTTTGCATTTGTGTACACTTCCCCTCACCTACTAATCAAGTGGCTCCTTCTAGGAAGGTGAGTTTCAAGAATATTAGCCTTGAGATTTTTACAAATTCCCCCAAATCATTGAACAGATGGCCTTGGGATGAATAGTGGAATGGCCACAGATGTTGGAATCAGAACCTGGAGTCGGAACTGGTTGCAGATCCGAGGATAAAATGGAAAATGGTGATAATACGTCTGCTTCAGATTGCCATCAGAATTGAATGAGGTGAAATGTGTATAGCACCTAGAGCAATGCAGGCGTTCAGATATTCGTTTCTTTCCCTTGTAAGCCTGCTTTCCAATTTTTCTTTCTTCAGGATGACAGATGTCAGTTCTCCCATCATTTTCCCATCGTGCATGGTTTATTCATATTGCTGTGATCGTCCCTCAGTGTGAAGAATCCGTCACACACTATATTGTATTCAGTTAAATTAACAATAACATTAGAAGATGACTGTACACAAAGAGGCTATGGTTTTTACACCAATAAATGTTAAGGTAATGACAGTGGTCTTGATGTCATTGACAGTCATTATAAAAAATTTTTATCATGCCTTGTATTAAAAAAAGTTGAATTTTTTTTCACTTGAAGACGGTTATTCCTTAGACACATGACATCTATTGGTCTCTCAAAATTTACTGTGATTTGGACAGATCATGGGAATATCTCAGAAAAGGGAACACAGTTATAATAGCTTAGGTAGTAATAGGTGTTATTTCAGATACCTCATTCATTCCTTCTCTGGCAACTGTGTCTTCAGTACGAGGTGCTAGTGCTATAATAATGGAGAAGAAATGTATCAGTTATTTATTGGTGCATAACAAATTACCCCCAAATGAAGCGAGTTAAACATTTATTACCTCACAGTTTCTGGGTGCTAGGTCTGGCTTGGGGGTCTCTCATGGGGTTGCTGAATAGCCGTCATCTGAAGGCTTGACTGGGCTCGAGGGTCTACTTTCAAGGTGGCTCAGCCACATGCCTGCCAAGGTGGTACTGGTTGTTGACGAGAGGCCTCACTTTTCCACATGTGGGTGCCTCCACGGGTTGCTTGAGTTTTGAGTGCTCCTAAGACACGGTGGTTGGCTTCCCCCAGAGCAGGCTTTCAGGAGGGAGGGGTGTGCAGGGAGAGAGGAAGAGGTAAGGAAAGGGGAAGGGGAGGTGGGGAAGCAATCCAAAAAGAATCCTTCACAAGTCACATAGCATCAATTCTGTCCCATCCTTTTCATCAGAAGCAAATCACCAAGTCTGGTCCACATTCAACAGGAGGGGAATTACTGCCTTTTGCAGGGAGAGGTATCAAAGAATTCATGGACATATTTTAAAATCATTGCAGTAAAACATCTTTCTCTTCCAGATATGCAATTTCATAGATAACTTGAGGCTGTAGTTACATTGGTAACCATAATTTAGTGTTATCTAACACCGAATTACAGTTACATATTGCTGTAAGAGCAGTATGTACCAAAGGCATGCCCTTTTTTGATAACTGCTAACTTGGCGTTTTTGACTTGGGTTTCCTACCATTTTCTCAAATTCAAAAGATCTATAATCTGACTCACCAACGATATCCCCAAACCAGCTCTCTTTTACTTCCTGTTGTCATTGTTCACAGTTTTTCTCCCTGTCACTTTGATTTGAGGCTGAGCCACCTTTCAAACACCACACTACAAGCAGCCCTCTAGAAGAGCTCCCCTTCAGCTTTTCAGTTTGCGCGTCGTGTCCTAATCATATCCCTCCTCCCCACTGCCCTGTTACTCAAAGAATGAACTCTTAGTTCCTCAACTATTTAAGGTTCTGAGATCTCCCAGCTTCTCCTTCTGTTTTTTTTTTTTTTTCTTTTCTTTAAAAAAGACCTACTTCATTAGTCCTTCCCACCAAAATTGGAGAGATTCTACCACAGGGAGACATTAGTAAATGTTCTCAAGTTGTTTTCTATGGGATAAAAATGCAGTACTACAGCTAAAGAATCCTCTTAAACTTAAATGCCGAGAGGGAAAAGATGTTACCGAGTTGGCTCCATTGTGGAGAAGCTTTTGGAGGGAAGGTGGGGGATGGAGAGGAACAAGACAGGATGTCTTCAGATGTTGGAGAGGGGCTCAGTAGAAGGATTCGAACGGAAAAGGAATCTCGACTGACAGGAGTGCAGAAGCACTTACCAAGGTCTGGGGAAGAGAATGGTGATGTCATGACTCACTAGCCTGGGTCAGCGTGCTTCTCGGGAGGAGAGAGTAGAGCTGTCCGCTGCGCATGGATAGGACGGGGAGAGATGGTGGACCACTAGTATCCAGAAAGACGGGTTCTCAGGGGCTGCTTGTGCAGCCGCAGTCAGATTGCTTACGTTCCCTGGACTATAGTTTCTTAATCTGGGAAAGTAAATGGGTTGGACGAGATCATTTCCAGTGCTAACATATTATGCCTTTGGAAAGGAACGTAGACATACCTGAAACAGTTGAATTTCTCTATTTTTTTAAACAAGTTTCCCCCGCTTATTTTTTTAATTCCATAAAAACAACTTCAGAACCACATTTAGAACATTTACTAACATCTCCCTTTGATTGAATCTCTCCAATTTCCATTTATTAAATGGAAACCCATATGGAATCAGATTATGCTATTATAACTGAAGTTGCTGTCTAATTAATATATATTGATATTTAAAAAAATACATTCTCAATGGGCTATAATTTGAAAATGTTTATTAGAGAAACACTTTCCAAACTTACAGGCAAGAAAGAGTTAAAATGGCCAGTATATCTGTGTAAACAACAATCTGCTTATACATTGTCTTATAAATTAATATTTCCTTATATAGTTTTGAGTATTATTTTAAGATTGCGTTCTTCCCAGTGTTCCAGCCGTTAAAAAATATTTTCATGACAAAAAAGAGTGTGTTAATTCTAAGAAGTCAGTGCACATTAAATGGAGAGAGATTGATAGTCCGTTACTTTATAGAGAATAAGGGATTTTCAAACCATGACTTCTTATTTTAAACTGTAAACCAGATTCATGTTATAATTAATCTATGTTGACCATGTTAACCAACATTGATTAAAGCCTGGTTTTATGAACTTTTTAATCTTCCAAAGTAAACAGGAAGGGGTTGGGTCTATTGGTTTTTGCTCTTTCCCTGCCTTAGCCCTGATGATCTCTTTGGCCGGAAATGGGCCCGGCTCTTCTGCCAGAAGTTAAGCTCTTGGTGAGAAGAGTTACAGGTGAGCACGACCTCCTTAAATGCTGTGCTCTTCACCCTCCTTGAAATGTCTGTGTGTTGACCTTGGTAATACACTGTAATTCTCTTCATTTTATAGCTAACACCTATATAGTGCCGACCATGTGACAGACATCTCCTGAGCTCTTTTATGTTTTAACACATTCGATTCTCAGAATAACCCTATGACAAAAAGCTGTCCTTCCCTTTTTTACAGATTGTCCTTCTCCTTTGGTGTCAAGGTAGCTGGGTGACAGACATAGCTGAGATCCGCACGTCTGGCCAGCATTCATGGTTTGCACCCAGTGGTGGGCTCAGAGAAAGCACCCTTCTAGGGGAAAACCAAGATTTACTCGGATTGTCACAGGGCCTAATGCACAGACACCCAGAGCTGAGATCTGAGAATTGTCCCAGCCATCCTTCTCCCCTTATTTCCTCCCATCCAATCTGAAGTACTGTTAGTTCTTCCAGCACAATGTTTCCCCTGATTGGTCCCCTCTTTCTTCTCTGTGCCCACTGGCTGAGTTAATCATTGTCTCCCTTCGGACCTGTTTTAAGTGATAGCCCCACACTGCTTCATGCCTCTGTAGGTATTACTTTTCTCTAATTCTTCGCAAGTTGTAGGCTGTCATAGCTTTTCTTTTTTGGTAACAGTTTTTATGAAGCTGTTCACCCATTGAACGTGTACAGATCAGTCAGTAGTATATTTCGTTGCTCCAGAAAGAAACCCTGTACTCACTAGCACTCACTCCCCTTTCCCCATGCCTCACTCATCTACTTCCCAACTCTGGAGATTTGTCTGTCTGGGACATTCTGTACAAATGGAATCATACATGTTTCTTGTGACCGACATCTTTTATTTAACATAATGTCCTCAAGGTACACTGCTCAGAGAGGTTACGTATTTGCTCTGCGTTCAGCCAGAGACTCAGAACACGGAACTTGGCTTCCCTGGGTGGCGTAGTGGTTAAGAATCCGCCTGCCAATGCAGGGGACACAGGTTCGAGCCCTGGTCCGGGAAGATCCCACGTGCCATTAATGGCATTATTTCATTCTTTTTTATGGCTGAGTAATATTCCATTGTATAATGTACCACATCTTCTTTATCCATTCCTCTGTCAATGGACACTTAGGTTTACTTAGCATTGCTTTTAACTATGATAGTAGGTACCATTTCCTGAGCATTTAGAATGTTCCAGATATTGGGCTTCCCTGGTGGCACAGTGGTTAAGAATCCGCCTGCCAATGCAGGGGACACACTGAGCCCTGACCCAGGAAGATCCCACATGCTGCGGAGCAACTAAGCCACAACTACTGAGCCTGCACTCTAGAGCCTGGGAGCCGCAACTACTGAGCCCACGTTCCACAACTACTGAGCCCATGTGCCACAACTACTGAGCCTGTGCTCTTGAGCCTGCGTGCCACAGCTACTGAAGCCCGCGCTCTGCAACAAGAGAAGCCACTGTAATGAGAAGCCCGCGCACAGCAACGAAGAGCAGCCCCTGCTCGCTACAACTAGAGATAGTCCGCGCGCAGCAACGAAGACCCAACGCAGCCAAAAATAAACTAAAAGAAAATTAAAAACAAAAACACAGGATGTCCTTCTCCAGTTTCTTTTCAGAAGTCCCAGCTGTGATCATGTGTATGGTGTTCAGGACCACCAGGGATTATTGTGGGTTAGTGGGTTCTCTTTGACTGCCCTCTTTGTCCCCTAGTCTCCTGCCTATTCTGTGTCTGTCATCATCACACTCAGCTGTTAGCTTCTTAATTCCTAGCTGTATGAGTTTTCTAGGGCTGCTGTAACCAGTTACCACAAACCGGGTGACTTAACAGACATATATTGTCTCACAGTTCTGAGGTCCAGAAGTCCAAAGTCAGGGTGCCCCCAGGACCGTCACGCCTCTGAAACCTGTAGGGGGGAATCCTTCCTTGCCTCTTCTAGCTTCTGGTGTTTGCCAGCTGTCCTTGGCGTTCATTTGGCTTGCGGTTGGGTCACACCAGTCTCTGCCTCTGCCTTCACATGGTGTCCTGTCTTCACATGGTCTTCTCCTCTGTGTGTGTCCAAGTTTCTCTTCTTATGAGGACACCAGTCGTATTGGAGTAGGGTCCACTCCAGTGACCTTATCTTTAATTTGATTACATTCTGGGAAGACGCTGTTTCCAAATGAGGTCACATTCACAGATGGTTAGGACTTCAGCCTTTTGGAGGAAGAGGCCATTCAGCCCATAACAGTAGCTGGTTGCTCTTCTGTTCTCAGTAAGGCTGTGGGTCGCAGATTGCTGCACGTTCTGACCCAGCGTCTGGCTCCTTGGCCAGGATTAGGGTGCTGCCGGTCTCTGAGGCTCGCCTGGATCCTCCCCTAGGCTGAGA